CACATAGTTAATGCTGGAAAAGATAGAAACACTAATGTGAACAAACTCTTCATTACTCCATCCTAGCAGAAACACTGCCTTACACATAGTTAATGCTGGAAAAGATACAGACACTAATGTGAAAAAACTATTCATTAATCCATACTAGCAGAAACACTGCCCTACACATAGTTAATGGTAGAAAAGATACAGACACTAATGTGAACAAACTATTCATTACTCCATCCTAGCAGAAACACTGCCCTACACATAGTTAATGCTGGAAAAAAGCAGACACTAATGTGAACAAACTATTCATTACTCCATCCTAGCAGAAACACTGCCCTACACATAGTTAATGCTGGAAAAGATACAGACACTAATGTGAACAAACTATTCATTACTCCATACTAGCAGAAATGCTGCTCTATGGCCAGTTGTTTGTGCTACTAATTTCTAATTTTAGTGTTATACCTTATTGAAAAAAAATAAGATAAAGTGAAACATTTTCTAAAAAAAACGATTTTTTTTCCAGAAGTACTGCACAAGAAAATTGTTCAGATTGTGCTCTTTAGTCATACACAACTCATTGCATCAACATGATTCAATGTACAGAGCCAAAAATTTTCATAAATTTTACTGATATAAACTGTAATGTTTTTATATATTAAAAGTGGTAGCATTTATTGAAAAAAATAATAGTTTTTTGAAAAACTCTAGTTTCTCATTACTACTTTTATAAATTACATCAATAAAGATATAATCAAACCCTCATGTACAGTCCTAGTGAAAGCCGTGTTCTTGTTGTGAGAAGAGTACTTTTATTTGAAATTGTGTTCTATTATAAAGAAATGGTTGTTGAACATACCACAGTTACTTTTCTAGTTGTCTGAATGTTGAATACCCAAAGTGTGAAATTTTTCATGGAATTTTGTTTGTAGTGACATTCAATAGATGGTGCAGGAGTTTTGGTTACATATATAGATACTGACATATATGCTACATCCAAAGTATGAAGATTGTAGTTTTATCAACTGATGAATAGTACACAAAACAGAATCTAAAAAGTATCTAAAACACAACAGAAACATTAAAAACAAAATTCAACTGGTGGCTTTTTAATACGTTACAGTATTAATCACTCTAAAATCACTTTTAGGTTATTTTTTACTACTACCAATTGTACAAACTTAATTCTTCTGTTTCTTAAACAAAATTATTTTTTACTAGACTACATATTGCATACTACAAATAGAACTCACTTTTACCAACCAACTTTGATGCCCTTTTGCTATGAAATTATTTTACACACTTATGTCTACAGTAAACACAATGCAACAGGTAAGACATCACAGTTTTTTTAAGGTAGGGTGTTTAATGATTGCTATATGATAAATTAGAAATCAAGGTGAAGCACATCTTTTACATTTATGATTAACATCATCACTAAAAGATGCAATATCAGATGTACACTGAAGTATCCTATTTAGTTGTTTAAGTAACTAAAACTGTTAATGTGAACATAATTAATCCTAATTTTTTTGTCAGATTTTAGTTTCATGTTGTTTCACACTACATAATTATAAAAATGTAAAACTTGGTTTTAGCATTATAAGTCTTCAGACTTACCACCAGGAGGCAATAGCAAAAATAGATGAGAATGTTTTTTAAGTACATCTGTATATTGAATGTACAATTTATATGGGCAGTAATATTTAAGGATAAATATTATGAATTTTATTTAATTCATTCATATTTGTAAAACAAAAGATATATCACACATGAAATGAAAACAATTTGAGAATTATTAAAAAGAGTATCATTCTTTGATAATAGCTGCACTAATATACTAATATGTATAACCACTGAATTCTGATACAACTTTTAGCCTACTGCACTGGTTTCATTGTTGATGTAACTTGTAAGATAACCGATACTAATAACTGTCTCCTTTATACGAATAGACATATTATATTCCTAGGTTTCTTTCCAACAACTACAACTGTATGCCACTCCATTCTTTCTGGGCTGATTATCTTAAAACTTGCAAGGGCGTGCAAACAGTACAAGATAGTTCATAAATTGATAAAAAAAAAAGAAAAATGTGAAGTTGTTGAAATAGACATTCGAATTTTTGAAATAATTCATTTTAAATGTTCTTTCATTTTCTTATCCTAATTTTGTGCAAAAGTTCTTTTTTCAATCCAGAAACAAGCATGTCAGTTAATAACACATTATGTGAAGACATTCTGATGAAATACAATACAGGAGAAAGAAACACAAGAATCTAGTTATAATATTCCAGAGCTGATGAAAAAAAGTGAAAAATCTGATTAAGAAAATATATAAAAAACATAAATCCAGAGATAATACGGTCAAACTTTTAAAAAACCTAAAAAAAAGAAATGAAGAAAAAAGGTATAAAATTATAAAAATCTAAGAAACCAGCTGCATGCTCATTTAATGCATGCAAGAACACCTATGTAGCATTTCAATTAATGATCAAGATAAGCTTGTAGTTTGGCATTTCTAAAAACTGAATGCTCCATCGGGAATTTTAAAGTAATTGCCCTCTGACATGTCCCTTCTATCACCAAAGAATCAGAATAAAAAAAACAAAATATTTAGTGAGGAACCTACTAAGCTGAATAGTTAATTCAAACAGACAATAACAACTTTTACAGTAGACAAATATATTTTAATAAGTACAATGCTTCAACTGATAGTGCTGATACTATTGGTTGAAACATTGTAATTATTAAAATAAGATCTTTCCTTCAAAAAAAGTTACTGTTATTATATTTTCAAAACAGAAAATTTCTAAATTTGATGTTTGTATAAGCTATTATGGTATTAATGTGATATGCGGGCCTGTCATATGTTTTTCATTTCTATAGATATACATATAAATCTGCACAATTTTTGATTATTTACTCTTTGCTCTGACATGGCAGAAATATGTAGTCCAAAACGTTTCTAATATTGCTTTATTCTAGTTACTTCATTTCTTCGTTCTCTTTAGTAGATGACATCTTCTATGCCTGCAGGTATATTATAGCATTAAATGAAGCACCTAGATTGAACAGGTTAGCAGTGGAATATCCTTTACTAGCTAATTACAACAATGACTGAAAGTAACAGACAACCTATGATATCATGGAACAGAGGTCACAAGGTGATGCTATCTACTTGACAAAGAAAGTGAGTTTACATTGTAGATTCAAGTGCACTTTTTTAGATCAGTTCTCCACTAGTCAATCTATGGGAAGGATGTGCTTTCTTTTCAAAGATCACTATGTTTATTCTGTGAATATCAATTCTGAGAGAAAGAAGATAACAGGAATAAACACAATCTAGAGGAGTAGAGGACTGTCTGTTTGTCAAGAATGGATACACACACTGTATTTTCTTTTTTTTATTGTCAAAATAAAGATTTTGTTTATTTGTTTATAATGTGTCCAGCTTTATTACTTTTAAATCAAAGAAAAAAGTCAGTTCCATTATCTCTCTCGCTAGAACCCTCAGAAACTCCTTGGCAAACTCTGCTGTTATTGCAGACTTGTCTATATAATACTTAATTGGAAATCACTTTCATCCACAAATCCCACATTAACAAACAGTTCAGCTTTTGATAATTGTTTTAAACCATTATCTGTTTTAACACTTTTGAAAGATTGTTCAAGTTACTTCTATGTTTTGTGTTTCAAAGTATAATGCAAACATACTTGAATAATCTAACTTTAATGACTAGACTCAATAAAATCCAAACGGAAGTTGAAAAGACAATTAGACAACAACCTAAGAAAAAAAGATTTCAAGAAAATTAATATAAAAAGTAAATACAACCATCCATACCACAACTTTAATTTTTCAAGAAAACTTTATGACCAACTAGAAACTTTAATATCACTGAGCATTTTGTCTAGTGAGGTATTTAAGATTTATTATTTTAACCCCCATTCTTCATTTTCATAATAACATTTTATTTATGTATTTAGTACAGAATATTTGTTCAAGGCTCAACATTTTCAGCAATACTACTTCTGCAATTACTACTGTAATTTGGTCAGTAGCATATTGGTTATCATATCAGTTCATAATAACATGTACTGGTATCATATAGTTAGGTTTTGACTGTATCAGTACAGTCCTAATTTTGATAATTTTTAACATTATTCGAATATTATAGATTGACAAAATGTTTCTCTGATAAAGATGCTTCATGTCAAAAAAAAATCTAATATGTATCAATGATGAACAAAAGTTTTGAAACACTGGAATAAATTAATTATTATACTGTATGCAAAAGTTAGTTAAATTCTTTCCATGTCTTAAAGGAACAAAGAGTTTAACTTGGTTTCTCATGATACATGCAAATGAGAATTTTCTTACATTTTCCCTGGACAGAATGCCAGTCCATCCAAGGTTAACCCTAACTCTTAGTTGGTACCCATTTTACAGCTTGGTGGACTGAAGCAAGTTTTGAGTAAAGCATTTTGCTCATGGACACAATGACTGGAAGAGGATAAACTTTGAACTCGCAACCTTTCAGTTGCTAGTCCAAAGCAATAAACACTAGGCTATGCATCTGTATGCAATAGCACACCTAAGAAAACAATGAACATTTGACCATAAAGGAGGATCTAATCTTGATTTCCAGGAAAGTTACTTAAAAAGACACACACACACACACACACACACAAATATATATATATATATATATATACATTTATTTGTGTGTGTATGTGTGTGTTAGTGAGTATGACTTTATTCAAACAATAATAAAAAATAATCTTATTTCAAAGTTTGGTAATATTGTACTGTTATAATCTACTGTCACATTTAATATGATAATATCTTTGATTAATCTTGTTCCAAACTTAAACAAGATTAGTTTTGAAACTTAAGTATGAGATGATTAATTGGAACAATTTTCTGCAAGAATGATAGAAACTTTCATGAGAATATGAACTACACTATTCCAACACAATGTCTACGACTTGACAAAACTCAACAAATGAGGAATGTTTTGGCCTACCACTATCTACATAAAATGAAGTTCTGATAATATACAGTTGCTCTCAGGCCACACAAAACTTTATTCCACATCCCAAGGAACAAACATCAGTTCAAACTAAATATTTACAAATAATCTTATACTGACCAAACTATATGAATGCCTAAAATATAAATACAAAAATATTGATTTTAAGTAGAACTTATCAGGACTGTTAGAAAAACAAATGGTGCAATAAACAAAACAAATATTTCTAAATTCCTACTCTATTGATTGTTAATTTTCTCCAAAGATAGAACAAAGGATACTGTTTAGATTTATTCTTGCTTACATTGGAAATTTCAAGAACTTTAAATAAAATCTGCATATCTTGGGTAATGTAATACATCCAATTAACAGTTCAAGATTTTTAGTCGGCTTAATCAGCAAATAAGAACTGTAAAAAATATCACAGAATAAATGATACATCCATTTGTTTATAGAAGTATGCAAGACTTGAAAATAGTTGTTTGAGAAAAAAGATGTATTACAGTTTTTGGGTTAATCAGAGTATACAAGACTTTAAGACAGTTGTTGGAAAAAAAGATATAGTTTTTGGGTTAATCAGAACTAGTACATAATCAAGCCAGCAAAATATGTTGTGGAGACCAAGTTCCAATAGATCAACGATGATTTAAACATCCTGCCAGTGCTCCAGCATTCTATAGCAGTGCAAGGCATTAAACAAAGCTGAGAAATCTAAGATTTAACACTTCTATGTAAAACCCTGTGAGCTACTGACAAACAAGGAACAAAATTCTAGCAGTTATTTGATCATTAAGACAACTCAAACTGTTGTGAATGTTTTTTATTCTGAAAAGTTACTAAACTGATACTATTTTTGAGAACTTGAAGAACTTTTAATGATTCAATCTATTGTATATATATATATCACAACAAACATAAAATAAATACTAGTTCATGAAATAAAAACCTAACTGGAACTGGACAACTAATGATGCAAGCTATATGTTAAATATTGACCATTATACTAAATAAGATACAAATGCCTACATTTCTTTCTCCAACTGGGACTGGATAACTTTGCTGGACTTTGCCATGGTTTCATCTGTAAAATAACAAAACTCCTCATAAAACCCAATACCGGTGATCATTATACTCTATTATAAAAACATCTCAAATGTATTGAAATAAATACACAAAATCAAACCACCCCCATTATGATGTTTTAATATTTACAAATTTAATCATGTATGTAGACTCATGAAACTACAAAAACAATGATTCAAGACAGTTTTCTTGAAACACAGCTAATGCTGCTAAGAGAGCCAAATTTGAAAAAGGAAAATAGAGATGGTGGAATCTACCTATCATAAGAAAATTGCTTTAATTTCAAGAGATACTAAACTAAAACATAGCCAAAGACTACAGCTGAAACTATTTTTATAAAACAGATCAAGTTATCTAAACATTTTCTGTTGCTTCAACTCTTAGAGTATTTGAGTAATTGTTAACTAAGATCTTCTGATTAAGAAGTTAGCACACAGGATCACTTACAAAAGTTATAATGATTTTCAAACAAAACCCAAACTCGAGCACTTTCGATTAGTTCACTATTCTTCTTTGACAGCGCTCAAGTTTTGAGTTTCATTTCGAAACCATGTTAACTAAAATCACTTGGCTAACACAGAAACATAACTAATACAGGATGAAACTGAACATTACTCTAATACTAATAAGTTCAGTGTACAAAAAGGAAAGAAGACATATTTTCACTTTAAAAAAGTGTATATAATATTAAAATCATTGCAAACAATGTACCTGTTTAACAGAAAGACTACTTTGTTTCTGTCATTTCAGATTCTTAAGATTATGTTATGTATTCTTCCAAGAGCTGACAACAAACTTCAGTAGGCTTCTACTGTAGACAAAAGTAATGTAAAAATATTGCTGCATTAATTTAAATACTTTTGTTGCTCTGTGTATGACTAAAGATTTGTGAATGAATAGGATATGTTTATTTGTGTATATACTTTTGGTTTGAGGTTTAAAGGAATACATTTTTAGAATTTTCAGGAACTTGTGTAGCACTCTATAAATCTAGATGGAATGTTTTTTGAGCAAAAGAACGAATGATGTAACTAAATATTAACTTGTCTTATGTCACCTTGGCTACATAGACAAAAGTATGAATGTCAATTTTGCTACATGGTCAAAGGAATGAATGTCAACTTGATTACATGGATATAGGTGTGAATGTTACCTTGGTTACATGTGTGGTACTCTCAGGTGAACTGATTTCCATGTGAGTACGAGATAGGTCCAATTAATATCAAGAGGATTAAACACGAAATGTACCGAGTTTTAGTCTGTGTGAAAAAATAAATAGTCTGCACTTGTGATGTAAAGTGTAAATCTTTATTGTAAGAAAAAAAATGCATATTTTTTTGGACAACTAGACAATCAACTACTATTAAAACAGTGAACAGATCAGTAGCTTTCTTTGTGCAAGATGAATATATCAAAAACCATAAATGTTGAAACTAAGCAGAACTCTGACTGAACCAAGCCTCATTACCAAAACAAAAAATCTTAGTTCTGTTAAAAATAGCATGAGCATCACCACACGACTGGTTGTTCTATCACTACATGCAAAGGCTGTAGCCTCTAGATATCATCTAGTTGGCAGTGAAAGACAATGCTATCAATGACCTATGAAGGGTGAAGATGCAGCAACCACCTAGTAAGCTAAGTAGATAGTATCTGTTGGGGAACAACAAAGAAACAAAGACAACTGAAAAAAAACAACTTCAATGATTTTATGGACCACATTTTCATATCAACATTACACAGAAACAGAATAAACATTTTTTTTAATTCCTATATTAATAAAAATGGTGTACAACATATGATATCCTTAAATATCACACGTGACCAGTGCAATGAATGTAATAAGGGGTAACATAGACAATGAATTTAATGTCATTGTAACAAGGGATTAAATGTCAACTTGCCTGCATGAATAAAGGTTTAAATGCCAACTTGAATACATGAATAAAAGATTGAATGTCCCCCTGGCTACATGGACAAAGGATTAAATGTAACCTTGCCTAGGTGAATAAAGGATTAAATGTAACCTTGCCTATGTGAATAAAGGATTAAATGTAACCTTGTCTATGTGAATAAAGGATTAAATGTAATCTTGCCTAGGTGAATAAAGGATTAAATGTAACCTTGCCTAGGTGAATAAAGGATTAAATGTAACCTTGCCTATGTGAATAAAGTATTAAATGTAATCTTGCTTAGGTGAATAAAGGATTAAATGTAACCTTGACTACATGGACAAGTGATTTTAATGTTACTTTGGTTACATGGACAATAGATGAATGTTATCTTGACTGCATGAAGAATGCAACTATGTATGAGAAAACTGGTGAAAGTGCTTTAAGGACACTAATCTATAATTAACACTTAGGAGAAAGCCTGATATATCATTAAAATGAGTAAGTCACACCCATCAAAACAAACTTGTAAATTAGATAGAAATTAATCACAAAAACTGTAATGATATATTTATTGTAATTAAAAACTTTCAAGGTATTGTCATTTACCTACAGATTAAAGGTCAGATGTTTTTTGGCTTACGTCAGCTACTTTCTTACACATTACAAACTAAATAAAAGCAAGCATGGCATTGAAAACTTATTTTCATTTATACAAATTTACTTATGAGTTCAAAGCTATTTTGAAAAGAAATGTAACAGATTAGCATCTCTCAAACATGAAGTTCACACTCATTTACAACTTATACATACAAATATGCAACCAAATTTTAATAACACCTTTTATAGTTTAATGTATTTTCTCAGGTAAGTTTTAGTGTCATAAATACACATACATATATAAATATTAATCTACAAGTCAAATAATAAATGAATTATGACATTCAATATAGTTTTATCTTTCCATGACTAACATGCTTATTGTAATTTGATACAAATATTTAACACAAACAGAAATATGTATATTTTTAGGTATGTTAATATAGTTCAATCACTCAGATAATCATATTCCTATTCTGATGATGATGATGGCTTAAACAAATGCAGCCAAAAGGTGTAGCAAAATGTCTTTGTTTTTGCAATAAATAATAATTGTGATTTAAATAGTGTATTACTTTTATTAATTAAATACCACAATATACATATGAGCAAACCAGTTAATCATGTACAACATTGACATAATTTACTCATTCTAATAATCATGTAAAATGTTGACTCACACTGATAATCATGTATACATGTTGACAGAATTTACTCATGTAGAAACTAACATCTTACCTTGTTTATTGCAAACAATCAGAAAAGGAGGACAATTATGTGACACCACACGCTCACTCAAAACAGTGTACAACAGTCTGCAAGGAATGGGTATGTAAGGAAAAATAAGTAACAAAAACCAAAATTTACTCCTTAATATATTATACTTTAAAATGATTCAGCTAAAGAATATACAAGAATACAATGCAATAATGTGTGATAAGACATTAGTTGAAGCTGTTTTAAATGGATTATTTCTTACTTAGTCTAGAGCTAGAGTCCAGCAAAGAGTTTGACAGTTAAACTAATCAGAAAAAAATTATTTTAACTTTAGCTTATGATTAAATCAATTATCATGAGAAAAATAACTAAATGAAATTATGGTTTCCAATTATTCTAACTATCCAAGTAATAGAAATATTGTCACTGTGTTTGTCTGTTGTTAAGCACAAGCTATGTAATAGGTAGGGAGGATGCCTTATAATCTGAGGGTCTCGGGTTTGATTATCATTGCCAATTAACTTTTTGTCCTGTGTTTATCACAAAGCTACTGAGGCTATCTGCCAATGTCATTAATTTTGAACTGCTGATCAGAGAGAAAGTAACTGACTATCAGCACCCATTACAAACTCTCTAGCTACTTAAGTGTTAAATAAAGTGCAAGTTTATTGTTGTTCCCAGTATTTTTACATTGTGTTATGTTTCTAATTTATAACCGTGTAAGTACACTCTTTTAAACTGTATAAGCAGGTGCAGATCTTGAATAGAAGTTTAGAGGTCCAGACCTCCCATCCATTTTTGCACCAGAAATTAATAACTATAATTATAAGCATTACACATACATACACACACACACACACAAACTGACAACTGCCTTTTATATATAAAATTTATATTATGTTAAGATTACATCTTCATCCCAAGACCATGCATGTAGCCCCAGTTATCTGGGGTACTAACAAACAACTCTAGGCTTCACTAACATAATTTTATCACCCAAACCTTGACCCATAATGTTCCAGCAGAAATTGTTGAAGTATACCCAATTTACTTATTTCATGAAGTTGTTTAAATCAGTTGGCTCTGAGGTAAATGAAAGATTTCACAAATCCATCAATATTGCAGACGTACCAGTGTTTTTTATAATTAGATCATATAACCTAAAAATTAAGTTTGAACACCAAAAGAAAATGAAGCACCCAAAACCAATAAGCCTAAGATTTATGATAAAAATTCTATTACAAAATTTAAACCTAAAAATTAATTTAATTTTTCAGAAATTAACAACTGCATTATTTAATGTAGTTTGTTTGTTTTTGAATTTCGCGCAAAGCTACACGAGGGCTATCTGTGCTAGCCGTCCCTAATTTAGCAGTGTAAGACTAGAGGGAAGGCAGCTAGTCATCACCACCCACCACCAACTCTTGGGCTACTCTTTACCAACGAATAGTGGGATTGACCATCACATTATAATGCCCCCACGGCTGAAAGGGCGAGCATGTTTGGTGGGACGGGGATTCGAACCAGCGACCCTCAGTTTGCGAGTCGAGCGCCTTATCCACCTGGCCATGCCGGGCCTATTTAATGTAGTATAAATAGGTGCAGATTTTGGGGGAGGTCTAAATTCCCAAAGCATTTATTTCACAACTGAGAAAAAACAGCAAAACATCCTTACACTACCATGTAGTATCAAAAAGTAACAACAGATGTCAGTGTTTTTATTTGATTGGTCTATTAACCCTCTCATCTCGTTTGTTGACTCACATTCAAAATTTTATTGAACTACTATTTCATAAATTTGTGTCAATAAGTTTGGTATCAAACTGTAGATTATAATTCAAATTGTAGTATTATATATTATTTAATTTCTTAATTTAAAAGTAAATATTAAAAACATAGTTAAAGATCAATTTTTTTGTGTCACGTGGTATGTTGAATGCAGCACTGGTTCCAATTAAATGTTTGTGATGTCAGAATACTAAGTCTATAGTTTTGTATGAATTAGGAACTCAAATTACTGATATGACAAGCTAGAATATAAAATAAGAACCTAACCTCACATCTTTCCCATTTGCTGAGATATCAGGCATGGCTGAAAGGTTAATATAATAAAAATAACTATATATAACTGTATAATGTTATGAGATTTAAGAAGCTATTTAGTCTAAACATTTATGTTTTCGTGTTATAATTTGTTGTCATTGCAGAACAAAAGAAGCATAATTTATATTTGTTTCCTAATTTTTTATTGTGGTTAAAAGATCAGTCAAATCTATCAAACCCGTACTGAGATTTCATTATTGAAAATAACAGATAAAATATAAAGTTTTTTCTTAACAAACGTTTGATAACTCTCTGGATATTATAAAGATTTCACATGTGAAATTTGAAATTTTTTTGATGCATAAAAGTATTTTTAATCTTAAAATGAAAATTACTTTGCGTGATAGTCAACATGCAAAAGGAAAATAAAAGACATGAGGAGAACATCGCTTAAGGAACATCATGAATTAATAATAAAAAAAATAATATTTTGTGTATGAAAGCATTGTAATACTTACTGATAATCTGCCAAATTTCGTTAACATACGCTTCTTAATTTAATAGTTACAGCATGAAAACCATAACAAGCACAAAATGGTTAAGAGGTCGGTCCCAGGGACCAAGTCCATGCTGAAAGCTTTTCCTAGATTTTCAGAATTCAACACAGTGGGAGTCTACAGCAATTCAGTTAAAGCTTCAGCCAATAACTGATTATTTCCAAATAAATATGACAATAGATGTTAATTAAAGATTGCCATGGTAAATTTCCATGCTTTAGTTTTTCTAAGGCATTCTAATAATGTGTCTAGGCTTTAGAGATTTAATGTTTGGTAAGAAACCTACCAAACTCAATAATTAATTCAAAAATACAATCACAACTTCTCAGGCTTGTCAACTTCCCCAATTTTGGTGGGAGTTTCATGATATGGAGTCTTGTTTTCCGATCTCCCAACATGCGAGCAGAATCTCCTAATATCAACCTTTTTAATAATTTAACAAAAAGAATAGTCATCAAATTCAACTTCACAGAGTGCCAACCAGATAAAGTAAATATTTACTCATCTTATGTGACATTGTTATACTTTATTGTATTATACTGTCTGCTTGTTGTACCACATTCCAATGCATTGAGTGAAAGGGCATTTTCAATGGTGAGAAAGATCATAACAGAGAACAGGACTGATTTAGGGCATGACGCAGTATGTGACCTTTTAAACTGCAAGTTTAACTCAGATTCCTCAGCCAGTAAATACAAGCCCAGCAAGCAGGTATTGAAAGATGCAAAAAGTGCAACATAAAACATAACAAAGAACACTAATAAGGATATATATGTATTTTTTAATTTTTAAATTCTTACAATAAGTGTATAACAATATTAGCAGATGACTGTGATTCTCTTAGTATATAAGCCCACTGTAAATGAAAAAAAAAGAAAACATCATTTCAATCTTATAAGTGTAAATAAATGTCTGAAGTTTCCCAGAATGCATAAAAGTGCACCTTTTTTTATAAATATTCTGGTGGAGCATGCTCCCCCCCAGGGGATGCTACTTGCAGTTGCAGTGCCTCCACAAAAAGTCTCCCAATTGGGCACCTCTCAGTGTTGACAGGTGTGACTTCTACTGTAGGCAAGTTATGATTTTAATAATTAGAATATTTCAACCCATCATGTAAAAGTTACATTCATACTTTTTTTAACATAACACTTACTGTATGATGACTCAACAATGAGTTGTAACACTAATTATTAAAATCTGAGCTTGCCTACTTTACAAATTTGTTTTTTCCATCAAAGTTAGTACTGCTTAGAACAGTTGTAGCTCTTATAACATAGACCTATTAGAAAATTGATTTTTCATTGTTTGGAAGTTAGAATATTCATGTTTTTGTATTATTGATGTCCGATATTAGGACATACACATGACTGATGACATTTAAAATGTTGAAAACAGGCATCCTGTTTACAAACACTAAATATGAATTTTAATTTTTAGTTTTTTCTAAATATAATTATAAATGATTTTAATTACAAGATTTAAAATGTTTGTCTATAATTGTTTTTATTTTCATATTAATCACATTACCAGAAAAAAGATATAAGCTTTGAAATTGCTGGATTATAGCCCAAAGGAGCTACTCATAATGACTTTTGTAAGCTTGCTAATTAATTTTATTACTAAAATAACTAGTATTGTATAATTATAAGTAATCAATGAAAGTAATATAAACTTATTAGTAGTGTTGTTTTTTTTTAATTTCACGCAAAGGTACATGAGGGCTATCTGCACTAGCCCTTCCTAATTTAGCAGTGTAAGACTAGAGGGAAGGCAGCTAGTCGTCACCACCCACCGCCAACTCTTGAGCTTCTCTTTTACCAACGAATAGTGGGATTGACAGTCACATTAGAATGCCCCCATGGCTAAAAGAGTCGAGCATGTTTGATGGGATGGAGATTTGAGCCCGTGACCCTCAGATTGCGAGTCAAGCATCCTACCCACCTGGCCATGCCGGGCCGTATTAGCAGTTCTAGTAAAAATCTATTTGGTCACCCTTATCCTTTCAACATCCCAGATCTATCCCTGTTCCAAGCAACAGCTTCTCAATTAGGAAAATTAGGAAACAGATATAAATCATGCTTATTTCGTTCTAGAATGACTACAAATTATAACAAGCATCCTAACCACCTGGCCATGCCGGGCCGTATTAGCAGTTCTAGTAAAAATCTATTTGGTCACCCTTATCCTTTCAACATCCCAGATCTATCC